CTAGATGAATCACCACTTGGAATTAAGATTGCTGGGAGAAATATCAACAACCACAGATATGCAGATGATACCACTCTCATGGCAGAAAGTGAAGAGGAACTAAAAAGCCTCTTGATGCAGGTGAAGGAGGTGAGTGCAAAGGTTGGCTTGAAACTCAACATTAAGAAAACTAAGATCATGGCATCCGGTCCTCTCACTGCCTGGCAAATAGATGGGGAAGAAATGGAGGTAGTGACAGATTTTATTTTCCTGGGCTCCAAGATCACCGCAGACAGGGACTGCAGTCAAGAAATTAAAAGACGCTTGCTCCAAGGGAGGAAAGCTATGGCAAATCTAGACAGCATACTTAAAAGCAGAGACTTCACCCTGCCAACAAAAGTGCATATAGTCAAGGCTATGGGTTTCCCAGTTGCAATGTATGGCTGTGAAAGCTGGACCATAAGGAAGGCTGAGCGCCAAAGGATTGAGGCCTTTGAATTGTGGTGCTGCAGGAGACTCCTGCGAGTCCCTTGGACCGCAAGGCGATCAAACCGGTTAGTCCTAGAGGAGATCAACCCTGACTGCTCTTTAGAAGGTCAAATCCTGAAGATGAAACTCAAATACTTTGGCCACCTAATGAGAAGGAAGGAATCCCTGGAGAAGAGCCTAATACTGGGAACAATAGATGGCAAAAGAAGAAGGGGATGGCAGAGGATGAGGTGGCTAGATGGAGTCACTGAAGCAGTTGGTGTGAGCTTAAGTGGACTCCCGGGGAGGGTGGAGGACAGGAAGGCCTGGAGGAATGTTGTCCATGGGGTCGCGATGGGTCGGTCACAACTTCATGACTAACAACAACAAAAGGAAGGAATGGGGTAAACCAGTTTGTAGGCATGACATTTTCACTAGGCTCTCAGAATTCTGTAGTTCTTCCAAGTACCCCCAAATGCTATATCCGTGGAAAACCATCAGCTCTGCTCTAAGCTGGTCATTTTAAGCAAGGGGACAAATAGTAAAATGGACAATTCTCTTTACTAGAAATCAGCTAGTTTTATTCATCCAAAATTTGTGTACTTACAATCACTCCTATCGCCCTCTAGATTTATCTGATTTCCAAGTGCAGCGCTCCATGGTGCAGCCACCCATTGCTTAATGGGTATTTACCATGCATTACTCACAGGGCTGCAGTCCAGGAATGCAACAGCGAGCTTCGGACATGTTGGTGCTCCAGAGCCAAAGGCCACACAACTCCATATTTATACTCTCTCAGGCAGATAGAACTTTCCCCAGTAGCGACCTTTAAACTCCAAGTCATAGGGGCTCACATATTTCCTTATCCCAAGCATGTTGGCTGTTACAATGCGCTCAAAGGTCCATGGGTTCTGGTTGTTAAGCCGCCTCTCCTCTTCCATCTCCCGCATTCCCTGTAGGGATTCCCGGCTGACCACTTCAGCTGGGAAAGGCAACTTCTGGGCCACCTGAATTAAAAAACGCTTCACTTCGCCAAATTCACAGTGGCCACCCACCTCCACTATAAGACGGCCAGCCTTCACCGCTGTCACATAATGGTCTATTGCCCCTTTCCCACCGCCCATGCGGTGTCCCAGCCCTTTGCGGGTGATGGGCTTGTAAGGAGCAGGGACTCTCCACACAGCAAACATTGTTTTGGGATTCAGTTTCCGATTGATAGTCAAACGCATCATTTCAAAGTGGCCCCAACGGAGATAGCCACCAGCCAATGCCTGCAGGCAACGAAAAGAAAAAATATGACTTTTACAATTTGGGTATATGGAAAGATGTTACAGAATCTAACATCCTGATTTACCAGGCAAGAGGTATCTCCTCTTTCCCAGCCACCTATTCCTTTGTGTAATTCAAAATACACAGCAGGCTGACTCTCACACTCACCAAGATACCATAATGCCCCTCAGTGAATTCTGTGGCTTCAACAGATGGACCGCGGATGTCACGTAAATTCTTGAACTCTCGCCTGACCTTCAGTACAGTTGGAGTTCTCTCGATATATTTCAGTTTTGGTTTCTCAGGAATAGTGATGCCTAAGAAAATGAAATGACAGATTTACTTACTACTTCACTGAACAGATTTGTTCTAGAAAGTCAGTTCATGAACTAGAGCTATAGCTCCTATTTGGCTACTTACTGTAAATCATACAAAAGTACTACTGCCTCTGATCTAAAAACACTTAATTAGGAGATAGTCAATGTTTACATCTGGCAAACAATTGAGGTTAAACCCAGATAACTTTAAATACCATTTCCCTGCCCTGATTAAATGGTCAGCTGATACAAACTTTAGGAAGCTGTTCTTGTCCATTTCTTTGCTCGTGTGTTCTTTTAATTCCCTTCCCAGGAGAGAACTGCTGGTGAGGAGACACTGCCAGCCAGTGAATGCAAACTAGGGGAGGGGCACTGGGGTGTATCCAGCTGTCTCCCTACAACGGTCATGATCTTAGTCAAGAAATTAATAAATAGTTAAATGGCTGAATGCAAAGCCAATGTGAAAGTGTCCCTCATTTGGAAGTATGTCCAACTGTTGTAGCATGTGATTTCAGTGTTAGGATCTAGTCTCCCACACATTGTTCATGAAGCCAGTTCTGAGCTATAAGTAAGCTTGTGCCACAGCAGCAACCAGAAGTTAATGTTGATTCCCTTATGCTAACAGTGGGAGAAATGACCAGGGCTACAGACAAATGTCCAGTTAGCATTAAATGCAAATACACTAGTGGAAATTGCAGATTGGAATGCTGCTCCATTACCATGTACCAATTTCTCCAAATTTTTATCCAGACTGTCAAAACTGCATTAAGCTGAGCAGGTTATATCTAGTATAAAGAAGGCAGACTCACAGCCATGAAGAATGTAATCAATATTGCATTGATAGGAAAGAAAAATAAAGCACAGGAGTAGTAATTTATCTCTAGACAACTAAAATGTTAATGAAATAATCAACTTTAAAAGAGCCACAACTTATAAAAACATTTTTTCTACAATAGTTCCTCACTTCAAATTCATTCATATGCATGTATGGAGAAAGTACTTACTCCCTTGGGTACATGATTGTCCATCTACAACATTTTAACACAGTATCATTGGTGTTCTGATTTTACCTAATACACAGGGAAGCATCTTTGATAGATTTCATACTACAAAAGACCTTTATGGAAAGAACATGTTACCTATGGAGCACAAAGTAGGTATAAATATAAGTGTAAGCTCCAGTCCCATTAGAAAACGGCAGCAAAACAGTTAAGGCTCCAGGCAACATGTACACATACGCAGCTCTTGCCACCAGATAAGAGATGGCAATGAAAAGGCAGAAGTGCTCAACTCCTACTTTGGCTCAGTCTTCTTCCAGAAGAACTACAACCTTCCTGACAAAGATAGAATACAAGCTGAAGGGGCAGGTTGGCAGCCTAAGATTGACAGGAAAATGGTCAAGGATTTTCTAATCCTTGATCTGAACTAAATGAGCTCAGATCTCCAGGGCCTGATGAACTTCATCTGAGAGTCATAAAAAAGCTAGCAGAAGAACTTTCAGAACCATTATCTATCATCTTTGAGAATTCATGGAAGACAAGAGAAATGCTAATAACAGAAGAACGGCTAATCTTGTCCCTATCTACAAGAAAGGGAAATAAAGATGAACCTGGGAACTATAGACCAGTTAGTCTGGCATCAATCCCTGGAAAAATTCTAGAGCAAATTATAAAACAAACAGTCTGCAAACACCTTGAAGAAAATGCAGGAATTACTAGAAGTCTACATGAATTTCTCGAGTACGAATCCTGACAGACTAATCTAATTTCATTTTTGACTGGATAAGCTCCCAAATGGATTGTGGGAATGCTATGGACATAACCTCTCTAGACTTTAGCAAAGCCTTCAAGCCTTCACAACTTCTTGATTACCAAACTGGCAAAAAGCAGGCTAGATAGTGCAACCATTAGGTGGATCTACAATTAGCTGCCAAATCAGACTGAGAGTGCTCATCAATGCCATATTCTCAAATTGCAGTGAGGTGACAAGTGAGTGCCACAGGGTTCTGTTCTGAGACCAGTATTTTGATGAGGAAGTACATGAAAAAATTAATAAAATCTGCAGATGGCACAAAGCTGGGTGGAATATCAAATACCCTGGAAAACAGAGATAAGATACAAGCTGATCTTGATAGGTTAGAATGCTGGGCAGAGAACATAATGAAATTCCTCATCAGCTCCATTACAAGATGGGAAACACTTGGCTCAACTATACTGCAAATGAGGTTGCAGATCACAAGCTAACTATAAGCCAACAATGTGATGCAGTTGCAATAAAAGGTAAATGCCATTTTGGGCTATATTAACAGAAGCATCACTTCCAAAACACACGGAGTACCAGTTCTACTGTATGTAGTGCTAAGACCTCACCTGGAGTACTGTGTCCAGTTTTGGGCATCTAAGTTCAAAAAAGATGCAGACAAGCTAGAAAGGGTACAAAGGAGGGCAACAAGGATGATTCAGGAACTGGAGGCAAAGCCCGATGAGGAAAAAATTGAGATAACTAGGCATGTACAGTCTCAAGAAGAGACTGAGAAAATATGATAGCACTCTACAAGTACCTCAAAGGCTGTCACATAGAGGAAAGACAAGATCTCTTCTTGTCCATTCTAGAGTCCAGGACATGGAGTAACAGACTTAAGTTGATTTAAGACTAGCCACCAGGAAGAATTTCCTCACTGTCAGAGCAGTACAGTGGAACCTATTACCTAGGGAAATTGTGGGATCTCCTCCAAGACATTTAAAAAGCATCTGGAAAATCATCTGAATGGGATGGTATAACTTAGAGTCCTGCAATAGCAGGGGGTTGCACCCAGTGGTCTTCTGGGCTCTTCCAACTCTGATTCTATACCTTCCCACTGTGTCTGAATATGTAATTCAAATTGTCAGTACTTTCAGAATTGACAGGACCAATTACCTGTCTGGAGAGTCTGGGCAGCTCAAACCAGCATGTCTTTTTTCCTAATTGCAATGGAGGAGAAACTGGACTCACTCTGATTGTTATCCAGTGAGACACATACTATGTTGCCCAACTGCTAGACAGAGAAAGCCAGCAGAGGGAGTTTCATGCACAAAGTTTCCTGGCCAGAAGAGGCTGTGCGGGGTGGGCAGGTGCCTTCTGGACATAATGCTTCATAGGTCCTGTAAGTGTATCTTCAGAAAGAATAATATTTCTCTTAGAAACAAAACTACCCCCAATTTCTCCTACCTGAGATTACAAGATGAAGGTTAATGCCTGCTTTATGGGATCACACCCTTTCCCTTCCAGTATCTGTCAAATAGTTACAGGTGAATAATAATTATACTTATTGCACTTTATCCTACCACAAGTTAAAAGAAACAAATATACAACACCCATTTTGTCCTTTTATTAACATTTTCCTTTATCTCCCAACATACCACTGTAATCCACAGGAAGCTTATACTTCTTGAAGCCAGCTGTGAAAATTTTGGTTCCGCTGGAGCCTAGGAGAAATGCAGGGAAAACACACAAACTTACATTTCTAAGCATAAATGTCCTGCACTGAAGTATCAGTAAAAACACCCTCCCTCTAAAATACACTACTGCATGTCCTAATGAAATCATAGAATTGAACACATAGCAAAAGAGCTGCCAAAAAGACAGAAGGGCTGGGAAGCAACATCAAGGAGCTGCAGTGGTTATGTTGTTACACCAGAATTCCCTAACCTAATGCCCACCAAATATGTTGGACTACAAATCCCATCAACCCCACACAGCATGGCCAGTGACTGAGATTGTGAGCATTCTGGTTCAAAATTGGACCATGTCAAATTATATCATGTTCCTACATTCCTAAATGGTGGGGCCAGACTGTGAAAAAAAAGCAAACTACATGGTCATGATATAAGAAAAGTACAAGAATGATCCAGGCATATTCTATACTGGGTGGTCAAGGGATAAGGAATAAATGCCACTTTCTGCAACCAAGTGAAGACTATCATGACCCAGGGCTGCAACAAGAGCAGAAACATAATCCTACTGTGATACTTGTAAACCCCTGAACTTGGAGGCAATATGGGCTCCTTTGCCCATTTAGCTGAAGCACTGCAGAGGAAGAAGGATAAAGTATGGAAATGTCAGGACAGTTCCAGTCTCCTTCATTCCCCTTCTTCCCACCCACTTTTCTATCCTCCAAGGTTGCTTTCCTGACCTCAGAGAGCAGCTGGTACAGTTCCTTCCATGCCAGCTGTGAGGGACCAGGGAGAAAGGAACAGCTCCCTTTTCAAATCATGGATCTGTAAAAAATTCCTTTGGCCCATAGATTGCTTCCTCTGGGAACTGTAAGTCTAAGGGTGCTTCCAGGAAGCTCTGAAGTTAGCAAGCAAATGCACACTTACTGCATTTCTTCCTCCTAACAGATCTTTTCTAGTGAAAAGAAAGGCAGAAAGACAAAAACAGTGGGAGAGACAGGACTACAAATTGAAGATGTCATCAACCAGATGTCCCATAATGTTTAACAAATGAAGAAGGCCACTTGCACAATAAAAGACTTCTCTGGAATATAGAAGAACCCTTAGAAAGGGAAACAAGTGTGGAATTTAGTCTCATGTCCAGGGTGACTAGATGCAAAAGGCAAGGCTCCTGCACTTATTATTATTAGATGTGCAGATGTTTAGAACAAGGAGCTTTTACTCCTTGTAGGACAAGGTATACATGCTCAAGTCCCACATTTGCCACAGCAGTTACTGTTACAGTTACGGGAACCCGGTCCTTTGCATTGGTCAGCATTAGCAAACAAAAGGAACCGCTACTATCAAGGGGGCAATTCTCCCATTAGACTTCCTCCCGCAAAAGTCCCGATTTCCCTAGCTCTTCGTTCCCTTGCTACTAGAAGGCTACGCTGCCAAACGTGACAGCTGCCATACTACAGTAAGTGCAGGGGAAAGCTCTGCGTTCCCCCTGGGCTTCCTACAGTACATCCTCCCGGCTGTCCCCGAAAGACCGGCGCCCCCAGCCTGCGTCCTCCCTTCGAGGCGACTGGACGCGTGCCCTAAAGAGCAGGCCACTGGCCCTTTAAGCGGCCCTCCCACCTGCCGTTGCCCCGGCGAGGGCGCATAAAGGGCGCCCAAGCTGCCTCAACATCTTCGGGGTGCCAGCGGAGGGTGGGGGATAACTCCGCTGATACCGAATCCAGACTCCAGCTAACCGGACAGCAAGCGATTCAACCTGCCATCTTCCCGAGATGTGCAGCCCTCAGTCGCTCCAGCAGCGACACTTCCGGTAAGAAGCATGTAGGGAGGACAACTAGGGAAACAAGGGGCGGGAGCGTTTGGTTCCGCCGGATAAATGTGTTCGGCAGCAGAAATGCTTGCTGACGTGCTCGCTCTTCCGTTGCAAAGAGCAAAGGATTCGTTTATCCTTAGTCTCGTGGTCTTTAGCACAGAGTATTTTATGATGTCTTTATTTTTAAATTGTATTAGTTGCATTTCATTATAAAGTTACCTCAAGCGGGATATGGTATTAACATAGCCAGAGTCTATTTGTTACATGGAAGAAGGCAAATTAGCGAGTAATCCTGTGGAGGCCGAGGAGAAGACGGTAGGGCTACAATTGCTAGAACAAAACAATTACAACTTCCAGTCTCCCCTAGCTTCCCTGGGTACTTCTAGATAAGGTTCTTATTGTGCTCTTCTTCGTTCTGTGACTCCAGAGGTGCTTCCAGACACAGGAGTCCCATCAAGTGCATTGTGCAGCTATTCTGACTTTTCTTCCTTAACAGATTTTCTGTGCTAAGAAGGAAAACAGGAAACGTGGTTAGACAATTCCACCAATAAGGACAGGATGGTTGCACAAGAAAAGCTTCACTGGAAGTACCGGTAAAACCTGTTAAGATGGGAACTATAGAACAGCTGCAGAGATCTCTTTGATAGGAGCTGCCCCCTTGGAACCAGGCAGCCTTTATGTTTCAGATTTGGAGAAGTAATTCTACCTACTCTTCTCAGAAAGAAAACAGGGAGCTCCAGCTCCCAGTCCACAGGATCTGCTAAGGTTACTCCTACAAAGGTAAATCTATTCGGCTTTAAAGTGCCATGGAATGCTCTGCTAAATTTGCTGGTAAAGACTAAGGGCGCTTCCATTTAGATGGCTTCCACAGGACATTCCTTGAGGTGCAATAATCTGCATGTTTTGAAGGAAACAAGTCTTGAAGTTCCCGCCATTCCCCAGCCATGTCTAAACATGCATAGGCTTGCACCCAGAAGGAAAGAAAAAGAATAGCTGCACTATGGCTTCTGATTAGTGGCACTAGGAACTATCCATTTGGAAACACCCTTCATGATAAGAAAAAAGGCAAAAGCAGCAGTGGAAAAACAAAGGAGGGTTACCAATGGAAATCATCATCTGGACTCCTGTTAAAATTCCATTAATAAGAGAACTACTGATAAAAGCTTTGTCAAGAAGCACTCCGAGTAACAGAACTACTCTCACTCAGCATGTATGTCAAGAGCATCAAGTAGACAGGACACACATGCAGCCAGATATCTCTCAATGGTACAATCCACCTTTTATCTGGAATTAGCCACAGGGAGTATATTACACTTGCATCTTGCTCATCAGGCCTGGCTACTGCTTTGCTTTCAGTGCAAGGGGCTGGTTATTGCTTTTAAATGGTATAGGCTCTGTGTACATACAGCTAAAGGATTTGGAGAAATGCCTGAGAATAAAGTGTCTTTCCTTGTCAAACTCCACTGCATTTGGCACAATGGCCCAACCTCCTGATTACAGAGTAATCTAGCTGACATATTTCAAGCATCTTCCTGTGCGCAGGCCAGAATTTCCTCTTTGATGGTTCTCATCTGCCATGAGAAGATTTGGAATCTCTCCACATTCTCACTTTTTTACCTGTTGAAAGGTGTCAGTGACCCATCTTTCCTGCAGGACTAGGGTGCCCATGTGACCTACTTTGCAGAGGACAGCCTGGTTTTTTAAGGCATCCTCTGTTCGAAAGGGTGTGCAGTCCAAGTCCAATATAAAGATCACTCTCAGAAGGAAGAGCTGAACCTTGAAGTTGCCCATGACAGCACTTAGTCAGTGGACTGAGCAAAGCACACTGATCACCCACCCACAGACCATCTTACCTATCATGGAGAGATGCATTGTATTTTGAGTTCAGCAACAGACACCCTTTTTAAATGTTTGGTCATGCATATACTTTTTAAAGCCATTTGGGAAGTTGAGAACCCTCTGTGGGCATCACTACAAGCCGCTTCCATGAAGAATGTGGCAGGCAGTGTACTGGCTGCTCTGGGGGCCTGGCGTGTCAAATCAAGTGGAGGATGTGAAGTGGAGATAGAAAGAGGCTAGAGGCTGAGAGGGAGGGGAAAATGACAAGGCAAAGCAATATTGGGGACAGAAAAAGCAAGGCTACAAAGGGAGAGAGAAAAGTGTTGCCTTAATATTTTCTTAAACATTTTTTTTAATGCTGCAGGAAGTGGAGAACTTTTGAGGCAGTGGAGTGCCGTGGTTGGAGGCCCCTGATGTATCTGGATCCATTCCAGTTTGGATTCAGGCCGTGTTTTGGAATCAAATCAGCTTTAGTGCCCTGAGGGAGAGGACAACCCTAACCCTAACCCTGTTAGTGCTTCTGAATGTCTCAGCAGCTTTTGAGACCATGGACCACAGTACCCTTCAGGATTGCCTTGATGAGTTGGAAGCTGGATATACCATTTCACAGTGGTTCAGTTCATAATTACATGGTTGGTTCTAGAGAATAACATTGGGTGACTGCACCTTGGGCCCATGGCAGCTGAACTGTGGGGTGTCACAGCATACCATCTTGTCCTCAGTGTTGTTTGATATCTGTATGAAGCCATTGGGAGGGGTCATTGGAAGATCTGGGGCAAAGTATCACCAATATGCAGATGACACTCAGCCCTGTTTCTCAATGAGATCTGAAGTGGGAGTCACCATGCATGTTCTGAACTGGTGCCTGGATGCAGTTATGGCTTGGATGACAGATAACTAAAGCTGTCCTGATGAAACAGAGATCATAGTGGTTGGGAGTTCTCCATTGTGGCATTTCTTTCTTCTTCCTTTCCCAGATTGTGAAAAAATAAAACTTTACCAGGGCCCATATCTCCTAAAAGGGGATGCAATCTAGAAAGAACTAGAAGAAATAAATAGTATTGGCTCTGAGTTTTGTCCGGCAGAGACCACTCTCAGTTTGGGATTGATACTGAGTCATGCAACAATTTGAAAAATATACAACACTGCACACATCAATGCAACTAAACTTTTTATTTTTAACTTTACAAGAAATAAGACAACATGCAGTTGGGTTGAATATTATCTATTGACCAGGGAGAGGGTGGGGATGCTATATATTGGTCCATATATCCTTGGACCTTAGTGTTTCCTATGGGAAGTGAGTTGCTCAGTATGTTGTGAAGATAGCCGTAATTTTTTCATTATCCACAGGCTTATATCTGTCAACACCTGGAAAGATAAAGGGATGATGATGATAAAAAATGAACAGTAATTGATAGATTGGATATTTTTCCTGTGTGATCATAGATGTGATGACCAGTTCTACATCAGGACTGCATCAGTGTTCAACTGACCAATGCCCTCTACACTGCAGGACATTTGCAGCGGATGTATATTCATATGCAACTGGAGATCAGGCTTCAAGGAGGCCACAAAGTGGGGCCCTGCAATGAGGTCACACAGAAGAACACTTAGATAAACCCATCTCTTACTCCACTTCTGCTTCTTGGGCTCCTTCTCTATGTCTCTGCTCTCCTTCTCATCCTTGTGGCCTTGCCATAATGATTCCCATTCCCCCGGCTGCTTCTGTTGACCATGATGCTTTGCTCACATCCCTTCTCTCTGGCCAGGCTCCACCCCTGCTCCTTAGCGAGAATTGATAGCATGTCCCCAAGACAGTCATCTCCTTTGGCCCAAACTATCACAGACTGAGCAACTATCTTGATAGTCTTGCCCTGTGCCTCATCACTGTCAACTCCATCAGTAAAATTTGTATACTGGCTGTCCTGCTTGTTGGTTCCTGACTAGGAGATTCTCCTCTTTGCAAGCCATGTTGTGGGACATGCTTGGAGTTAGTGCATAAGCTTCACAGAAACAAGGTTACATGTCCAGATAAGGCCTAACACTGCAATTGTCTGACTCGTGCAGGTGCACAAAAATTACACTGCACTATTTTTGTATCCAGTGAGCTTTTAGAGGAGTATTCAGTAACATGGAGGTATAAAAGACAATCGCTCCTTGGGACAGACAAATTTCTCACCTTTGTTCTGGAGAATTCCCTTTTTTCAGAATAAATCTGTTGTTTAAACTTAATTAGGATGGCTCCTTTTTTGGGACTGATGCACCAAAAACCAAATGCAGCCTTTTGCTACAATGTTACCTATTTCAAGTGGTCCTTTGTCACCCGAGAACTGCCAGTAGGTCTTCTGATTTATACTATCATTGATGTCATTGATGGAAACAACCATAATCCCAAAGGAGGTCTGCTTTGTTTGAAAGCTGTAAAAACAGGAGGACAGACCAAGAAAGGGAGGAGAAATACATGGGAATAAATTGATACAAATAAAGAAAAAATGTACAGAGGGAAGGAAAACTAATATGTGAAGAAAGTTGTAGAAACAGGTAAAAATAATTCACCAAAGTCAAGTGTTCAAGTCCAAGCACACCTACAGACCCCACCTCCAATCTCATGATGTGGGTTTAAAGGTGGGGTTTAACAATTATATACACATATTAAAAATAATTTGATTTTTTTAATTTAAAATTTAATTTTTCTCTTGATAGTTTCAGAAATTTCCTTTTTAAACAAAAAATAATTTTGACCTCACCATTTTGCATCCTGGGTTTCATAATCTCCCTGAAATGCTAGAGTAGTCTTATGAATAACTGCAGCAGGACTCCCCCACTTACCTGAATTGGCTTGGTTTAGCTTGCTGAGCTGCTTCTAAGACAGCGAGCAGTACCGAGTCTTTTGGTACTTCCACTGAGATCTGATACTGGAAATAGGGTCCTACTATTTTATTGATGATAGTGTAAATTACTGTAATGGTGGGAGCTGTGCAAAAAAGAAGAAGAAGTGAGTAAAGTAACTTCTTATGCTCTTAAGGCTGTTCTCAAACAGCAATCCGGGAGCCCGTAGCATGAGCCATGGTGACAAGGTTAGGCTGAGGATGGCTTTCACAATTGCACTAGAAATCCATGTCTTTGTCATAGTGAAGAACAAAAAGTGAGAATCTGTTGGCATACGCCCAAACTCTGCAGCCATGTCTAGTCCTGGCATACCTCTCTCAGACCTTGTATAAGTTGCAACTGTCCTTTCCACCACAGGAACTGATCCTGTCAGTAGGAGCCAGCATACCTGTCATGTTCTGGTGAAAATTTCTTAAATTTCTAAAAAAGAAATTTCTAAAAGGGGGGCGGTTCTCTTGAGGGCTGCTTTCCGTTATGGGTAATCTCTTGGGAGCTAAACACCAGTAGTGAGCAAGGCCAAGACCAGAGCCAAATGGGTGAGTAACCTCTCCCTTGCTTTTTTTCTTTCTCCCTTTTCCCTTTCCTTTTCCACACAGCAGACAGCTAGGAAAGGAACACATCGTTTTTGCCAGAGATCTGGTCTGATTGCATGCAGAGGGCTTTTGAAATCAGCCTGAGGGCTGTATGCAGTCTCTGGGGCTGCAGGTTGCCCACACCTGTTCTAGGAAAACCCATCTACCTGGCTATTTGTTTTTAAACATGGGTGTCTCCACAGAAAGCGCTCCAAAAGTACTTGTGTTGCTTTGGAATGGTGATGTTCTAATTTTTCCTATTATTATTTTTGCAAGGTGAGCCCCTGTGCCTTTAGTAGCTGCTTAAAAAGTCACCATTCAAAGGGGACTATGGTGATTCCACGCTAGGAAAAGGTGTTTTTCCTCATGCAGCGGTTAATGGCACAAGAAAAACAAAAGATGGCAATTCTACGTGACATTTTCACATCAATGTCAATGCAAGGTGGAGGCCAGAGGGAGTCAGGCCATGCCTGTATCCCAAAAGCTGAATCTGCCTCTCAAAGCCTTTAGGAGCAGGGCGTGCTGCTCTCGCATTGCTCTGGAGGACACAGGAGCTGCCTGATGCCATCCCTTCAAGAAAGCCATCTGCGGATGCACCCCTACCATTTTCTGGGGAACACGTGATGCCTCTCACATCCAGGTATGTCTTGCCCACTAGGGAAGGCAGGATCTGAGAAGCAGCAGCAGGATTATTAAAGGCTCCCAGGTACACTTCTTTCAGCACTTCGTCTAGGGTCTCCTGGCAGTTCCACTCCCCAGCAGCATAGAACTTGGAAGTGACCCTGAGTGCCTAGGAAGCAACAAGCAGGGGATGCATTGAGAGAACGGCAGTGGGAAAGACTGAGGAGTAAGGAGCAGACTCCTGGGTCCTGCTGAGTGATTGAGTTAGACAGGCACATACCTGCATCGCTTGGCCAGTGCTATAGATGTTCCCAAGGATGCCATTGCTCTGCTTTTGATGAAGGATTTGCTTTGTGATCGTGGTCAGGGCGTCCTGGAGGACTTCCTTAAGCTTGATCATCTCTTCGTATACACAGTTCAGTGCCAAACTCGCCGTAGCACCAGTACCTGCAAATCATACCTTGCCATTGTCACCTCACCATCAGCATCTCTCCACTATGACTTAGTAGACTTGCCACCCACAGGACAAATGGGGAATGCAACACTATAACTGGTGTTCCGCGTGGAAAGGGCTAAGCTAGTGAAAGAAAAGTCAGGCTGGGCAAGGTGAGTGAAATCTGCAATGTAGGCATTAGACAAGCAAAGATCTCAATTGGTCTTTCCCATTGTGCTGCCCTCTGGAAGTGTCCATCCACACCTCTCAGCATCCCCCAGCCAGTCATGTGGTCCAGCACATCCAGAGGGTCCCACACTGGCGAAATCTAATCTGGAGAGCTGTATCTGTGTATTTGCATGCTGTCCTGGGCTCCATGGAGGAAAGGCAGCCTACATATGTAATTACAAATAAAGAAAGTAGGTGTAAGCCAAGTGGTGTTCTCTTACCTACAGAGAAATAACCCCCAGACTGAAAGTCATCGGCCAGTGCTGCCTTGGCAAGGATGACAGCGGCATTTTCCATAAGTGGGCTTTTCTCTACGCAAAGGGCCAAAGTGTCCAGAGCCAACTGATAGTATGTTGTCTTGGGAGTCCCAGCCTTATCTGCAATGCAAGGAGGAGGTAGCAGCTGGTCACTCTGCAGAAGATCTGAAGCCTCATCCTGGTGTGCCATGCGGCTTCCACCCTCAGTCTGATGCTTCCTGGAGAGTGGTTTCGGAGCAAACGGGAATCATGACATCATAGAGTAGTATTGTTGGGAGGGAAGAGTTGGACGTTGGCCACTGAGTCCAACCCACTGCTCAACGCAGGACTCCAAGTTGAAGCATCCTTGGCAGATGGCTGTCCAACTGCCTCTGGAATGCCTCCAGTGTGGGAGAACCCACCACCTCCCTCGGTCATTGCTTCCATTGTCATTCAGCTCCAACAGTCACATTTTTTTTCCCTGATGTCCAGCTGGAGTCTGGCTTCCTGTGACTTGAGCCCATTATCTTGCGCCTGCACTCTAGGATGAATAAGGAACACATACGGAACACACACTCCAACACATGCAGTAGGAGGAAGGTGTGAAGTGGGAGCCTGCTCTTTTATTTGTAGTCTCCCAGTGTTTTCCAGACAACCCTGAAGGAGAATTTTGGAATAAGACTAGAAGAGGGTGGTTCCAGATGAAGGGCTCCCACCACTACCAGTGAGAAGGCTTTGTGCAGTTCTGTCTCCTTTAACAATTCCCTGCAGTAAGAATAGCGACAGAAGTAGCCCACTCATGTTTTCTGATCATGAGTGGAAAAGAAGGACAATGTCTGGAGCCCAAACAAAATCCAATGGAAGAGGCTGGGGATGAGAACAGCTCAATAAATGGCTCATTTGGAAGCAATGACAGAACTTGTCTGCATGCTTGGTCAATCAGATGCAGTTGATTATTAACCACCTGTACCTGTTGACCACAAGATAGGCAGGGGAGGCTGGTGATGCCTTATGTCAGTGTGGCTCCTCAGCCATTGAAGCTGCTGCTGCTTCATCTTTTCCTCAGCAGCTTTATGCATTCCATGGTGGTGAACCTATTTTGGGCGTGGAGTTCAGCATCCTGGTAGCTTCTATAAAGGCCCTACAAACCTGAGAAGAAGAGTTGCAGTAGATTAGGAGTCCCACTGACATAAGCGTCATCAGCCTCCCCTGGTGATGGGGGGATTAGCAGACTTACCCTCAACAGCATGACTTGGCCTGTCATACAAAGCCAGTCTTATTGCCATGTGTAAGAAGCCGCCTCATTACCCATGGTAATAAGGCACCCTGAACCCTATATCAGTCCATGGGTTGTGGGTGGCTTGTTACCCACAGCAACAAGTCACCCTGGCCAAGTTTGCAGAATATGAAAAGCCAAATTTCTGAGGGTGATTGTGCTAATCCTCCCAGCACATGCCTGGCATATTGGGGCAAAGAGGAAATAAGGTGCTGTGGCTTATTTTCACAGCCATGATTATGCAAACAGGCTGCAGTCTTCCCTCCAGGATCCAGTTCAGTGAAAACCAGTTATACCTGTTTGCTTGTAAGAGCCGGCTGGGCACACGGTGCTGGGTCACTGGAACAGGTCACACCACAGAACTCTCCTCTCTCAAGAACAATCCCACAACTATTTAATACTGTTCTTTGTAAACAAATCAGGTGGCAAATTTGCACTCAACTGAATAAATATATATGTGGTGCTTTAATAATAAAATGTGGGCTGCTCACCTGACGCATGGAGAGAGTGGGGGTGATGGACAATTGGATCAGTATTCAAAAAGCATGCAAGCGCAGACTTCGTGTTTTCAGGAATGGAGATCAGCCAAAACTGTTCTTTGCTAAAATGCTATATGTAATCTGGTAACTGCACTCCTACCACTAGTTCATTCAAATTGCAATTTTGGAGACTGGATCTATATAAGCTGCAGGCCTCATGGCTACAATGGTTGGCCAGATCTTGGACTTTTCTGTGTCTTCCCCTATCCCTTGACTTTTGTACAACTGAATCAGATGAAGTGTTCTGAAGAACTTGAAAGCTTGCCCATTTTTGGAAAAGCTTTCGGATTTGGTCCTAAAATAGTAGAGCTGTCTTTGTATTACTGTATCCTTTGGCATGTACAAAACAAAGACCACTCCACTCAGAACCACCCAAACGAGCCACATGGGGTAGATGAGAAGAGTGAGCATCAAGCTCAAGCATTAGCTACTAAGATTCTTTTTGACAAACAACTGCAGGAGTAGAAGGCATTAAAAGCCCATCTGTCTTCTTACAGATATGGTCAATCTCTTCTTTAGTCTTTTCTTCTAGGACCTGGACCAAGTTGACTTTCTTTCCTAGTGTTGTGACATCATTTGGATTCTTACAGGATGACTGGAGAGCTAGGACATAAAGGGCCACATCACCAGACGTCATCTCTGCAGGAAGAAGACATGAGAAAAGGATGAACATCGCAAAAGCCCAACTGAGGACACTTTAGAACAGTGGTAGGCAGAAGGTACACCTCCAGATGGCTGGGACTTCAGTTCCTAGACCTAGGCGCTACTGCCAGCATGGCCAGTTGCCAGGAACAACGACACAAGGGGTGGGATGCCTGTTTTGGGGGTAGGAATCCATTGGATTCCCAGGGCTCAGCTTTCTTGCAGCCATGAGTCCCATTTCCTGGCAAGCTCAGTGAGCCTTTGCATGGCATTCACCAGGAATCAAGCCCCATCAAGCATCTCTCTTCCGCATGTGTCACTTTGTTTCCACTGGGTGTGACATGGAAGAAGGTTGCTGGTTGTACAATGAAGGTTCCTTGAGTATTTGTGGACTTCCTCTTGGCTCAACTTTCTTCCTTAAGACAGGACCAA